AGATAGTATATATAGAGGTAAGAATGAAGCCTTTTTCATTTATGTCAATGACTTTCTAATCATTAGTCTTATTTAAAGACTTTTTAGTCTTCTTGTCTTTAATAAATGCATTCTAGTTCAATTTATCACCATCTTTGTGTGATTTTCTAGTCTTATCAAGTAACACAAGAGTATATTAAGGATTTCTTTCTTTGAGATTTATGTCCTTGAAAATTTGATAAGAGTTCTAACTCATTATTCTTGTCTTGTTTTAAAAGTGAATAAATTACTTCACTTCTATTGTTGTATTTTGAAAATTCCAAATTATCCACCTTTAAATAAATATTTTTATTTTCTAACACTAATTTTTTTCTTTAAAGAGAGTGGATTATCTTTCTTTATGAAAATTTTTATTTGACATTAGAGGTTGTGATTTACATTCTTTTAATTTGACTTGTGGATTTATTAAGTTGTTTGAAATAGAAGAAAAAATCATGGATGCTATACTTGGCATAAGTGGTAATAGATTTACAACTATTGCAGATCTTCTTGAACTTTTCAACACTCTTAGGATGGAAATTTCATGCATCACTAGCACCAATTATGAAAATACTAATCCTACGCATATGAAAGAAGTTCAGAGTCTATGTCAAGAAATTATGTAGTGAAAAGAAGCAAGTAAATCAACTTTATAACCAAATCTAGGAAGTTTTGCTTCTATAAGTACGACGGGAACAAAGATTAGTATACCCAAGAAGTTTGATAGAACAAGATAAAATTTTTGAAGATTTTTGCAACAAGTCAAGCTCTATGTAAGATTGTGTTCCTTCCAATACTTTGATGGATTTACTCAAGTTGGATTTATAGACACACATTTTTTTTTAGAAGTTTTCTCTCTTAGTTTGTATTTTTGATAAAAAAAATATTTATTACTCTTTTATGATTTTAATTCATTCTTAGAAGCATTTATGGCTAGATTTGAAGAAAGTAATCAAGAAAAAATAACAGAGAGTAAGCTATTATCTTTATAACAAAGATCATGGTCAACTACCCTATATATTACTAAATTCCAAAACCTCACTTGTAATATGAATTGAAATAATAAAGCCCTTATCAATCAATTTTGATATGGATTAAAAAATAATGTCAAAGATTTATTATTAATAATATAAAAAGTAGATTATTTAGAATAATTTATTGCTCAAGCCATTGCATGCAAAAATTGATTATCTGAAAGGCATCAAGAACAAAGATTTGGCTCAAGAGAAATAAATCAAGTAATGATAGTAGCTCCTAAGTTTTCAAAAACTTATTCATCAAGGTCAAAATTAATGCAAATTGATACAATACATTTTAATCTATCACTATATAAAAAATAATTTATCATTGTGAAGAGAATTTGTACTTATATTATGGAGAAGCTAAGCACACTATTCAATATTTTCCAAAAAAATAATTCAATTACAAAATAATGAGTATGATTGCCAAAAAAAATAATATATCAAAAAACAAAAAAATTCAGCTACAATAGAGACCATGCGGTTAAAATCATGTACAACATCTAATAAAGGTCTTATGTTCTCTTAAAATCTATTATCTTGTTTTACAATAGATATATATTTAGGACCTAAAATACAGAAAGTCTTTCCTTTATTAGATTTAAAAGCCTCAGATTGTTTTATAGACAATTACTTTCTCAAAAAATAAGAAATATTATTAGTTAAGAAAATTAAATTCATACATGTCAAAGTCATAAATGGTTGTTTGTTGTCTTCTAGAGATATTATCAATGAGATTGTTCCTTTAGATGTAGCAATTGAAGATCATAATAGCATACCAATATTTAATATGATTAGATTTCCTTCTAATTAAATTATTTTAAGATTATCATGGTTAAAAAAGTATAATCATTAGATAGATTGGATTTCTCGTAACCTTAAGTTTTCTTGTTTAATCCAAAATTTTGTTAGTCAAGTAGAAATACATAAGTCTAATATAACAAAACCTTTACTAATAGATGTGAGACCTTTTGTACATGCGACAAAAAAAGTTTCATCTTTTGTTATATAAGCCACATCTATTTTTGATGGTAGAAAGATGTCAAGTAGTATTCTTAGTTAGTATCAAGATTTTCAAGATGTTTTTTGAAAAACAAATATAGATATTCTTCTAAAACATTGATCCTATGATTATTCAATTGATTTGTAAGAAAGATCTCAATTTTCATTTGGATCTATTTACAACTTATTACAAAATAAATTGGCTATATTAAAGAAATACATTGACAAGAATTTAGCTAAGAACTTCATATGCTATTCAAAATTTCCAGTAGGAACTCTTATCTTATTTGTGAAGAAAAAAGATGGATCTCTACAATTGTAGATAGACTATTAAGGACTTAGCAAGATCACTAGTGAAAATAGGTATTCCTTATTTTTTATTTTAGAACTTCTTAACTAATTCAATCAAACAAAGATTTATACAAAAATAGATCTACAAAGTACATGAAATCTGGTTTGCAATAAAGAAGGAGATGAATAGAAGACTATTTTTCAAACTAGATATAAATATTTCGAATATAATGTCATGCCTTTTGGACTCATGAACGTATTAGCTACTTTTCAACATCTCATGAATGATATTTTTTCTGATTTTTTTTGATGATTTTGTTATTTGCTATTTACATGACATTCTAATCTACTTTAAGAATATTAAAAAAATATAAACTTCATGTTTGTTGTGTGTTACAAAAACTTAAAGATGTAGGATTATATGCCAAGATAGAAAAGGGTGTATTCTATACTACTCAAGTTGACTTTCTAGGATACATCATTTTCAATGAATACCTAATGATGGATTTGAAGAAGGTCTAAACTATCATAGATTGAAAGATTTCAAGAATAATAAGAGATGTGCCATGCTTTTTGAGCTTTGCCAATTACTATAAAATCTTCATCAAGAATTTGTTTCAAGTTACAGCTTTACTTATACTTTTGACTTGTAAAGACAAACTCAAGTAGAGTAAAGAAGCCAAAGCATTGTTTGATGCTTTAAATAAGGAATTTAACTTTGTACCAATCTTGTATTGTATGAACTTCTTTTAGGCATTTTTCATGGAAACATATACATCAAACTTTGTCGTAGATGCAATGTTGTCACAAATGGGAGCACATGACAAATTCCATCTAATAGCATATCATTCTAGGAAATTTTCAATAGCACGGATTAACTACAAAATCCACAATAAAGAGCTTTTTGCAATTGTAGATTCTTTTTAGCAATGGCGTTACTATCTAAAAGATACTTCTAATTCAATCACTATGTATACACATCATAAGAACCTCAAGTACTTTATATCAACATGCATGTTGAATTATCGCCAAATTCATTGGAATATGTCATTATTAAGATTTGATTTTAAGATCATAAATAAATTATATTTAGATAATTAAACATATGAATTTCAACTAAAAAAATTATATCTCTTCTTAAAACTTTATCTATTTAGATATTATTAATTTATTAAAAATAATTTTTTTATTATGCTACATTATTTGGTTTTTATTAAAAACATAAAAAAAAAAAATTATTGTATAAGGCTTTGTATTTCCACCTATTCTATTTGGAGATTAGATGCTTAAGCAAATGTGACTTAAATGGTCTTAGAAATAGTTTTTTTCTTTTAATACTCTCACATACTATAGTGGTAGCTCTAAAACAAAACTTTCTCTTATTTGAAGTGAATGTAAAATATTTGATTTTGAAAGTTTGTTGCATAATCTAAGTGCATTATTTTTATTTATAAAAGTTTTAGATTTAAGAGTAGAAAATCTTCTATCTAATTTTTTTGATTAGATTAAAAACAATCAAACATTACCTTACACATTCTAAATCCAGTGATTCTTTTTAGAAAACGTATTCAAATACTTTTTTTTGTTGAATATCTAATTAATCCAAAGTTACAACTTTAAAAAGAGCCAAAAGACTTTAGATCTTTTCTTTGTCTTTTTCCACATAATTGGCAATATGCCAATATTCTACTTCTTTAAAAAAGTGTTAAAGAATATTTCTTAGAACTTCACTTTAGTATGTAATATACTATGAAGTTCTAAAAAATATTATGCAATAAAAGACCCCAGGCATTTATTTTGATAATATAATACCCTCTCTTGGCAAAATTAATATAGTTAGGAGGGAATTAGTAGAGTTGAGAGGACACACCATCTCAGAGTTTGAATTAGCTGGTTTAGGTGATAATGATTTTGTTCAATGTATATTATTTGTATTTTTGGTTTATGTATTAATAATTTTAGTACTTTACATATAAAATGTTGTATGCATCTTTTTTGAGGAGTGTTATGATGATTAAGAGGTAAAAAAATATAATCAAATAATAAATAAGATCTTTAAAGATTGAATGGTATATAAACTAAGATTGGCTAATTGACACCCTTTTAATTTTAATGATGATACAAAAAATAAATAAATAAATAAATAAAATGCTTATCCAATCATAGACATGTATAACAACTTGTAAAAAATATCATGCAATAAAAGTTATTGACTTATTGGATATTGAGTTGTAGAAGGATTATTATATTTAATTTTTTCTACAAAATCATAATGTTTATTTGAAATAATGTATATATATATATATATATATATACATATATACAATGATTTAAGAATTTTAATTTGATTCTTATATAAGTATCATTATAATTACACATTTATAATGGTTGTTTATTAGATTTTAATATTATAATATATATAATCAACCCACTCTTAATAAAAAAGAAAAAAATCCAAAAATTATCAATTTAGTATATTACTAATTTTTTAATAAAATCTACACACTATCAACTTTAAGTGTACAAATTGTAGGAAAGACAAAATACATGTATAAATTAAGAATCACCAATGATATCAACAATACATAATGTGCATTTTTATACACAAGAAAAGGTGGAACTCACATCAAAGTAATCGATTATGATTGAAATAGTTTGGGAAATGTTGATCTCCGAAGTGCATATGTCCCTCCGACGAGTGTCGAATTTGCGAAGCTTTTAGGGAGCTCCGACGGCGAATCCATTCCACCATCACCACCACCACCATCAGAGCATGTGTAGAGAGTGTATTGAAATCGTTGCTGATATCGCGCGCTTGAGCTCGCCATGGCCGTGTTGCCGAAACTCCTCGTGTTTGTGTGGGTCTCCACGATCGCGCTTTCCGTTTTGGCGTTCCAACAGGTACCGAATCAATTCAACTTTAATGTCTGTTTCCTTTTGTGTGATGTGTTTGTTGTGATGCAAGGAAATAGGTTTGATCTGTAATCGGATGGGGTGATTTCGGTTTATGAATTGATGGGGCAGTTTGATCTCTTGTGTGGAAACAGGTGGGGAATTGTTCGTGTCAGCCCATGCGTCGATGATAGGGTTCCGCTTGTTTGTGAGAACCTTTTGCTTTTCATTTGTAGATGTAAGCTTGTGTGCCTCGTTCAAAGCATGTAGAAGCGGGTTGTGACGATGTGAGGAATTAGAGCAAATGGGCAGAATTGCGTTTTTGCGCTTGTTGAGCAGTTTTGGGGGAATTTGGTTTGTTCAGACGCAGCCCGAGTTGCCGATTGTGATAAGTACATGGGCGTTCGTGGATGCGGTCAGGGCAGCAGCGCAGCACGTGATTAAGGAAGGGGGCTCAGCTGTGAACGCAGTGGTCCGTGGATGTACTGTTTGTGAGGTTTTGCAGTGCGATGGATCAGGTGCGTGCGCAGATTCACGCAGTTAAATAATGTTTATTGTGCATCCGCCGAATGAGGCAGTTGATCAGTGGTGGGTTCCCACATTGTTGCTTTGTGGAGGCCCAGGCTTGAATCGAAGCAGCCATCCAGCTACAGCTTCGTGAATCTCTACTTCGCAATGTACTTCATTCACAACCTTCAAGGTTGCAATTGTGGGTCGCATTAGGGGTTTTGCAGAAGATTCTAACTGGATACTTCTGCAAAATGGTCGGGATTCATGTTATTAATCTTCTTTTGCTATATTTTAAGGATACAAATTCAGTCTGTTAAGGAACAAACCAACACGCAAGTCTTTTTCCACATGGGGTATTGGAATTTGCTCCCTGCTATCTGACCCTTCGAACCTCTGAGAGTCTACATTTTGTAGGTTCTAAGATCCATTTTGGTATCAGAGTTATCTTTTGCATATGTTGAGTGTCTGAAAAAAAGATCGTGGAATTGTTATGTTTGACATGAGCAGGGTAGCGGCGGTAATTTAGAAAGCACTCTTGATTTTGTTTGCAGTGGGATATGGCGGAAGTCCTGACGAGGCTGGAGAGACCACTTTGGATGCCATGGTCATGGATGGGGTATGTTGTGCCTGTATGTCCTCTGGTATAATCTATTTGGATCTGTATCGTGGTTCAAAAATTGGAAGCAGCACCAATTGTGAAAGTTGAAACTCATATACTTTACTATTGCTAGCGAACTGATGATGTATCTGGAATTGAATCATCTTCTCACTAGGATGCAGCGGATTCAATAACCGTAATGTGCTGATTAATGGAATTTTGGAAATTGTTAGACAGCCATGGACGTAGGTGCTGTGGGAGCATTGCGATCGGTGAAAAGAGCAATTGAAACAGCACGGTTGGTAATGGAGCATACAGAGCATACTTTGCTGGTTGGAAGTCAGGCGTCAGCGTTTTCTCTCTCGCTTGGGCTTCCCGGCCCAACCAATCTTAGCACGGACGATTCGTTACAGGTAGCTCCACGCTAATAATCTGAACGCCCTATCCATTTAGAAATTTCAATTGGCACTTTTGGTTTGCTTGGCAAGTTTACAGGAAAAATAACATATTCTGATGTACTTAGTTACCAACTCCAGCCAGGGAATGTGTTTGATGCCCGCAGGCCTGGTCACAATGGGAGAAGGGTGGATGCCAGCCAAATTTCTGGCGAGACGTAATTCCTGACAGTACTTCCGCATGTGGACCTTATAAAGTTTCTGCTCTTATGAGTGGACAAGGTGATCGCAGCAGGGTTGGTGGTGGGATTAGCGGTAAACATCGCAAGTCTTCATTTAGCAAAGCTACTGGTTACGGCAACCACGACACAATTTCGATGGCTGTCATCGACCGTGTGAGGATTTTTTTCAACTTCGTATTTATCGAATGCTCGGATGCATGCTGTGGTCTTATCCTCCATCAAGTGTCTGTAGATTCAGATGCTTGCTTTGACGATTTATTGCCATGAGGCAGATTTCATTCTAAGTGAGGGGTGCTGTCTTTCGATCG